GCTGCCGGGCCGCGCGAGGGGGGGGTGCGAGGCCCTCGCGAAGCGAGGGCCGAGCGCCCCCCCCGCGCGGCCCGGCGTGGCGGCACGTGACCTTAATGGAATGAGCGGCTAAATTTCGGAAGAATGACATAAGGGGATGACATAAGGGATGACATAAACCTTGCTAAAAGTCGGGCTCTTGTGGTTGCCCTCACGGGGGGACCCTCGCTTTGTTGGATTGCTGGACGATGGCGGGTAAGCTAAAGATAGCGATGTGGGTCTATCTTATCGTGTTCCTTAGCTGCAGGCCCCACGTCATTTTTACACTTTATCGTTTATGGATAATTGAATATCAGATGCTATCAATTATATCTTCAAATCAACTGCTTCTTGATTGTCAACGCGACGGTCTTTTCGAATGTGCCTACTACCTCCGGGTTATTCATGGAGATAAAGCGAGAATTAATAAAAAGGAACTTGATACACACTTGAATCATCATAAAAATGGCTACCGAACAGCCATCTGAGACCGTTTCGCAGGTGCCTGAACAACCCACAAAGCTAGCAAAGCTGCCACCTATACCAAAAGGTTAGATCTGAAGCCTCAGTTACCTCAATACTCTCTCCATTTTGCGAACTACTAATATCAACTCAGGGGCTACCGTCCGAAGACGTCCTATCCCCACGCGCACACCCTCCACACGCGCCTCGCGACGCATCTACATAACTCCCAAAACGCCCTTCCGCTCCGTAACAGCGCGCGTGCGCAAACAACTCGACAAGAATCTACGCGAAGCATCAGCATCCAACAAAGCCTTCACCAACAGACTCGCCAGCAATAAGAACGCATCCCTGGACGAGCGCATCCGTGCCATCCAGCGACAGTCTGCCTCGAAAAATAGCGGCAGCGGGATCGGGCTCGAAAACGCGGGCGAAGTCGTGGTGCTGGGTACGGGGCGCGCTATCCAGAAGGTCGTTGAGGTCGCGATGTTCTTCCAGAAACAGCAGGATTGTATCGTGCAGTTGAAGACTGGGAGCGTGGGCGCTGTAGATGATGTTGTGTTGGAGGGGGAGGAGGAGTGGGGAGGTGAGGGAGAGGAGAGGACTAGGATGATGAGTTCTCTTGAGGCGTCTATTAAGTTGAGGTGATGACAGGATTTTTCGCGAGGAAGGACGATGCTATTTGCCGGAATCGGGCCCTTTAGGAGTATGGCCCACCCGATCAGCATTTTTCCTACAGTATCGTTACATCCTTGACGTTACGGACGCGCCGGCGACAATTATTCGACAAGGTCGGTTCTAGTTACTAGAAATGGACGATACAGTCGATAGGAAGACTGGAGGTATGAATCACCCATCAGCGCAAGCGCGGCGGCGAAGTCTTAAAGCCGGAAAAGCCCGTTAAAGTCTAAGGCTATTTTATTAAGCCTAAGAACAGAAACTTGGGATACTGCAGTATTTACCAGAACATGCAGTAACCACAACTTGGTCGGTGGTGCTTTGGCGGACTTGCACTACTACATTACGGCTTAGATAATAACGAGCATTGTGGATTACAAGGGGTGAAGGGTAGCAGGTGAGACTCAGACGTATTGAGGGGGAAATATGTTAAACCGCCTCAGCTTACATTCCGGATGTAATGCATACTCGGCTCCTGTTCTAGTCATACGAGCGAGATGTTTGAGGCGAAGACATACGGCAAGGCGGATACTGATACGGTCACTTCAATGCTATAGTTTATCGTCAAAACAGCATCATGGACTTGGGGCTTACTAGCAAGAACAGAGCGGAGTAAGAGAATAATATCGAAGCTATATTATAAGTATTATAAAGACGAGATTGATAGGATCCGTCTAGTGAGGCGACTTGACCGACAAAGGTCATTGGGATTCATTCTATCCAAAGAGATTCAATATAAATATTTTACCATAAGTTACTTATGGAAAGAGTGTTGAAGCCGTCTAGCTTTAATATGAGGCAAAGACCATGTATTAGCTACTCAAAAATCGATGGAATATTCCAGGGGTGCATGTGGATGAAAGCCGAAGAAGTTGTATCGATTTTAGGTACATGATCAATTTAAAATAAATAAATTCTAACGCTTCTATCATTAACTAAGAAGTTTATTGCGCATAATTCCCGTCCGTAGTTTCGGCGATCGAGATCTCGGTCCTATAATCGGAGACGGACCGGCCGCTGAGGGGCACCACGGCGGTACTGTCGTGATCGCATTTAGGACTAAACCGAAGACACTAACTCGAAACTAATTTATGTTAAATTCCCCCTTTTCTATACGAGACAGTTTCATAGTTACCCAGATATACTGTTAACAATCGCAATGACATCTTCCCACCCTTCTCCTTCTTATATCATCGTCGGGGCCGGCGTCTTCGGCACCTCCACCGCACTACACCTAGCCACCAAATTCCCGGACTCATCCATAACGCTCATCGACCGCGACGCGCACACAGCGCAGCGCCGCGTCGCCGCATCTTGGGACTGGAGTAAGGTCGTGCGTGCCGATTACCGGGATCCGGTGTACTGTCGGCTCGCGCTCGAAGCGCAGGACGTCTGGCGCGTGGACCCCCTGTGGCGCCCGTTCTACCGCGAGACGGGCATCTACTGGATTAGTCGCACGGGGTTCGCGCATCAGGCTCTGGATAACTATACTCGGCTAGGACGGGCTACGGATGGTATGCGTATTGTGCCGGTGGAGGAGGCGAAGGGATTGTACGGGGGAATTTTTGACGGGGCGGATTATACGGGTGTTGAGAATGTGCTGGTCAATGAGACGAGTGGGTGGGCGGATGCTAAGGGGGCGCTGCAGGCTGTAGCGGAGAAAGCGGTTGAAAAGGGTGTTAGATTCGTCGCGGCTGAGATTGAGGAGTTGGTCTTTGGGGAGGATGGAGAGTGTGTTGGGGTTTTGACTAAGGACGGAGAGAGATATACCGCTACGCATACGATATTGTCGACTGGTGCTTTTACACCGAAGTTGCTGGACAGAGTGGCTGAGAAGACCGGGCGAGATGAGTTCCTTGCTGGGGACAGGATGATCGCGGCGGGAGTAACGACTGGGCTGGCGCAGCTTGACGATAGCACTGCGGAGGAGTTCTCGGGGATGCCAGTTGGTATTCAGGAGAATGATCCTGAGAGAGGTAAGCGGTCAAGGTCAACTATTTTCTTTTTTCTTTTTGATTTGATAGCACTGACCAGCAATACAGGTGCAAGTAATGGCGCTTTACCACTGACCGAAGACAAGAAACTGAAGTGGTGGGGTCAGCGCATATTCAAGAACACACAGACGATGCCCTCTGGCCGTCAGATCTCCGCACCGCCAGCTTCCACGGACTACTCTCAGTGGACGGTTCCGGATACTCTAGTGCAGGACGTCGAATTTGCCAACAAAGCCACATTCGGGAAGCGCGGAGAGGCGTGGAAGGTTTCGGAGCATCGCATATGCTGGTATGTGATTTCTATAGCTTGTTCTTTCTTACCCTTATTATATACTTATCTACATATGAATTACGCATATAAACTAAACCCTGGACGCTAGGGATGCGGTCACACCCAGCGAAGATTTTATCATATCGCCTCATCCAGCTTCTAAGGGACTATACGTCGCGACCTGTGGTTCGTTTCACGGGTGGAAGTTCTTCCCCATCATCGGCGAGTATGTTACGAGGATGTTAGACGGGGCCCTAGAATCGGAGTTGCAACGGCGATGGGCGTGGAATCGTGAGCGTCCGGACCCAACAGGGAATAAAGTCTGGCCTGTGAAAGAGTTGAGAGGCTTGTAGTATTCAAGTAATCAGGCTCGAGTGCGTAGATATCCTAGATCTTAATCTCGATCAAGTCGCCACCATTTTAGGAATCGCATCCAACGACTCGATATTACTATAATAAATCACCTCGAAAACGCCAGCATTGCGTAGTACCTACCAGATGGAAATCTATCTAGCTCGGATCTCTCAGCATGATGACGGTACACTTTACGTGGAGCGGAAGCAGACTGTCAGGATTCTAGATGAGACATCTAGAACAAAGGAACTGTTCAGTATGTATAGACGATAGATCTTCATAGGTAGTTTAGAGTTCCTTGCGGAACAACGAAGTTGTTTCCATACTGTTTCGTTCCACCTCGTGACACAGACGCCGATTGACGCGGAGCACTACGTCGCCATCTCTCATGCATGGGGCCACCCGATGACAATCAAAGAAGTCCATATCGAAGGGGTAGGATCTGTTAAGCTCAGCCCAGGCAAGCCAGATCTTCTATCTATTCTACACCGGCCCGACGTGTGCGGTACCGGCTGGTTCTGGCTAGATCTCTTTTGTATTGACCAGAGTGACGGATCGCCTATCAACATTTCAGATCAACGTATGGTCATTCCGGCCATTTATAGACATAACATTATCACCGTTGTACTTATCGAGTCGCCCGTATGTCGCGAATGGGCTAACAATGTTACTGCCGCTGCACACGAATACGTTAATGATGCCGCTGTCTTCGATGAGAAGGAGGCGCATCACGCAAGGGAGTGTCCTAATCTCGTGCTGATGGACCCGTGGTTCGACCGCCTCTGGACCCGACAAGAGGGACTCTATTCCACAAAGCTTAGAATGGTTATCCTTAACGAGGTAGAATGCTGTCGTTTGCTGTCATACAAGAAGCATGGGGACTTCAGGCAAAAAAAGAAGCCGTGATCAATTTCATTGCTGATAAGATGGCGTATCACGGAATTAATAGTAGCGGTGATTCCCAAATACGGATATCATTCTATATGGATTTGATATATAAGACCCATATAGAAATCTCCTCGTACGGAGGTTACACTGGTCCTTCTCCTAGCTACGTGCCGCTTATGGAGGCTTGGAGAAGCGGCCGTATAACAACGAAGACCCAAGACTACGTCCTTGCTGTTTTTCCAGATGTCGAAGGATACTGTGTGCCACTGGGAGCTCAGAACCTATCTTTCAGCGACCTCTTGATGAACGCATACGAGCAGGTCAAGGAGTATAGCCAGGGTCACGACTCATGTCTCCTACTTAAAATACCCCTAAGCATAATTACCGCCGTGGCATCAGATTCGAATAAACCATAGATATTGGAAAGTCCTAAGAGCATCACCGAAGCTTACGATCCAATCCTTAATATAAGAACAAATCATCATGCAAAAGGGCAAAAAAACTTTGCGGAATCCACTTCTAGTGTAAAGTCACGCAAAAGTGGCCCATGTACAGTTAAATCTAGGCGGCCTGATAAATGGGATCAAAAAGGCCTACAGGATCTTTTTGAAGTCTGGAAAAGCAACGCTAATCTAATTCGACACATAATTCTTCTGGCACCTTCGGGCCCTTGCGTTGGGTCATCTAGGATATTTAAATCTGAAGAGGAAGTGCTTCACCGATTCTTCGCTTGCAAGTTTGCAAAACCGGCGGTAGAACAATTCCTCTCTATGCCATCGCCAACACTGCCTATTTGGCTCTCGGGCTTCGTCCAGCATGGGGTCGTAAGGATAGACAAACTCCATCTTCCGAATAAGGTCTTTAAGCAGGAACTAAAACTATTCTTAATCTGCCTAATATGTGGGACGACCTTGGCTTGCGCTACCAAAATCTTAGAGCATGCGGAAGTGGTAATAGTTATCGCCAAGGATACAAAGTGTAAAGAAATGCCTGCCTTGGTGAACCGGTCTGCTTTTTCGGCGTCTAGTCGCCATCGTTTGATACTTGGGGGCAGTGGTTTCGAGGACTTACAGGGCCTCTTTTTACTAACGGCTGCTAAAAGCTCTAAGCAAGCTAGAGTCGTTGTAGGTAGAACGATGATCCCGAAAACTTATCCTCGGGTCATAGCTTCAGTCAAGTCCGGGGGTGTCTTTGCGTAGTCTAAAAGTTGAAATGGTAGCAACGGTAGCGTTTAGTATCTAAATTGATTTTAGTGATAGATTTATAGCCTCAAAGCTGGCACGCGAGAACCGAAGTGAAGCTAGACACTTCATTCAACTCTAAATCAACTAGTATAATTGTTTGTTGATTCCCTTGGGTAGATAGAGGAGGAGAATTATCGCAATAAGAAATTTATGATTGTTACTAGAGCGAATGACTGTATTGCCTTAGGTCTATAACCTCAAAGGGTGAAAAATAGGGAAACCATTACTATCAACACATACCGTGTTCTGTAAGAAATATTCGTACTAGGAACCGCCAGCGTAGCCGAATCTAGGACATATATCTCATAAACCTAGAAGGGAAAATTACTAGACCCCTACACACATCACAGAGAAAGCTCCCTCGCACAGGCACTTTATATCACTGACCAGGTTGGGCCTTCTCGTCATGTTTGGTGCCTTGCACTTGTCATCAGATTAGTTATTCACTTGCTCGCTTCTCGACCTCTGAGGAGGTTCTCGATCTTTCGAGTCATTCCTTTCTTTATCGTACGATTCTTTCGTCTCATTCCACCAAGCAACCTCATTCGGACGAAGTTTACCGGAAAAAACTCTTGGACTAGTGATTGCCACATAAGTGCGTAACTTTCAAACCCATAAGGCCATCCGTAATTTTGCGCGTCTTGATTGTGTTAACAGCCTTTAGGAACAAATTGTGTGTTTCGAACGAACGCCCAACAGAAGCTACTATGCCATTTTGGAACATGCCTATTATCCCGGTTGCGTGTAGAAATCAAGTATCTTGCTGGACTCCGGCTACGAAGATAAGAAGCAGCAGCCACGAGATAGATAGCAAGAGGCATGTAGTACGAGTGATCCATAACTTAAAGGGAAGCCTTGGCCAGCCCATCATCCTTGCTAGAATTCGATGAAGTATATTAGGAGACTCGGAGAATTTGTGCCATGGCTGTGTGCCCCCAGGAGAAGGGCTAACGGAAAACTCCTCTAGTTCTAAGCAGTGCCCCATTCCTTTGATAACCATGATGTATCTAAAGCCATTACTAGATGTCAAGGCATAGTTAAAATTTGATTTTTGTTGGTTGGGGAGTTTCTCAGCTGTCCATTGGTGTAGTCCGCCAGTGATGAGACTTGGGCATGTCCCTACTATTGTAATAATCAAGACACCACATTCCCCATGCATTAAGATAGGAATACTGGCCACAATGAGTTGTAAGAATATAGTAGCAGCACCATAAGCACGAATATTCTCGTAGACTTCCCTAGGGGTATGCGGCGTGCAGAGCTATCTAAATACTAGTATACATTATTTGTTTTCTGACATCCTGCAAATCCAACCTTAAAAGATACACACGATGATGTTCCAACCGTTCCTGTTGGCTTCTCCGGGTGAGTTCGTATTCGGTGCAATGTTGGAGCTCGGGGGTCGCCTACTGAGGTGCCGTATGTTCGCTCTAAGCCGTTCCATATCACGCCTTCATGGGTGTGAGGCTTGCTATAATATGGGCGAACTCCAGCAAGAAATTATTAGCCAAACCGTGTTGATGCGGGTTGTGTAGTAAAAGGATATGGAACAAGTCTTGTGGTACCTTAGTCACGGCGCTGACGCAACCTTGAAGGACAGGAGGAGGAGAACGGCCTACCAACTAGCTAAACATCGGGGTCATTATGTCGTGGCCGTGATTAGATTAATAACCTTTGAACAGCATTAGAAAAGCTAACGTCAACAGCGCGAATCTTGATGCTGTCATAATACTAATTCAAGTCAACTTTATTTTAAAGGCACTCGGGGATGTTAAATACATATCTCGGGGTCTCGAGCTTCTACGACTATTATAAATTGGTACTTGAATATTATTCTGAGATTTGGAGTCATACGCTCGTGATTATTATAATATTTCATTCTTCGACTGGTCTATGAAACACAAAGTCTAACTCTTAACGTATTTCCGACTTCTTCAATAACCCTAAGCTCGCCGCCCCCATTTCTTCGGATTTCAGACTAATCAGGTACGCACTAGAGAGCCACCTACAGCATGGAGTACAGTCTTGTTAGTTACACCCGGAACTATTCATACGACGAAGCGCCATATCTCCACATCGATTTCGGAGAATTCTTCTTGATACTTTGCCATCAGGACTCCTCATAGGACCGCTTATACCACACCGTTCGGCGTCCGGATTGTTGCAGTAGACTTATGCAAATGCGGGTGTGGAGAACAGTGTACCAGACCAGGTTCCCCGCATTGCCCGCAAGCGGCACCTCGTTTTTGGAAAACGGTGACGGAGAAACCGACTCCACGGGGAATCGAACCCGCTATAGTATCATCGGTCGTTGTAGACTGGGGAAATATCTTGGCGGTTACTATGTCGTATAAAAGGCATAGCGGCGCCTAGAAACTTCGACGCATGAAGCCGATATGGGGGATCATTCAGACAGTTCAGCTCAGGAGCGTCCGTAACTAGGTCGCAGATGAATTCCCACAAGATGAAGACTGTCACTACTTCGGCGATCCTGCTAGGGGCTTCCGTGGAAGCTGCCCTTTATAAGACAAAGACGCCGCCGATGGGATGGAATAGTTATAATCATTATAACTGCTACCCTAGCGAGGATATCATGAAGACCAATGCTCAGGGGCTCGTAGACCTGGGGTTGGCTGAACTGGGTTATACATATGTCACGACGGACTGTGGGTGGATGTCAAGGAACAGAGACTCAGAAGGTCGGCTACAGTGGAATGCTAGTCTTTTCCCATCCGGAGGCAAGGCTCTAGGAGATTATATTCACGGCCTAGGCTTGAAATTCGGTCTTTATTCTGGCGCAGGTTACTATCAATGCGGCTCGACGGACCTCCCAGCTTCTCTCGGTATGAGCTTCATGTGTATCTTACTGTTTGAGTAGAATTCTAATTAGCTACAGGATTTGAAGAGATAGATGCGCAGTCGTTTGCCGAGTGGGAGGGGGACTCCTTAAAGTGAGTCTGAAATCAACCAGTGAAGGAGAAGTTGACAATGGCTGAGTCTATAGATATGACAACTGTTATTCGTCCTCGAAGGAAAAAATGGCAGATTATGTGTCACCGGAATCTACATCGCCTGAGCGTCACAAGAAGATGGCCGCACTTTTAGATGACGTAGATCGAGACATCGCCTATTTCATTTGCCAATGGGGTATCGGCGAAGATCTAGGCGAGTGGGCGCCCCCCATTGGCAATGTGTACAGGATCAGCAACGACATCTATAACTCGTGGAGGAGCGTATGGAGGATTACAAACCAAGTCGTGCCGTTTTATAAATCTACTTCGGTCGGTGCTTATCCCGATATGGATATGCTCATGTAAGTGTACGTCTATTGAATTGCGTACAGTTACTGACATATACAGTGTTGGACTTAACGCCCTGTCTCTCCGAGAGGAGAAGTTTCACTTCAGCATGTGGGCTATCAATAAGTCTCCTCTTAACATCGGGGTGCCAATGGACCCGAAGCTCGCGCCGGCCGCCTCTCTTGATGTGCTTCGCAATGAAGAAGTTATAGCTATCAACCAGGATTCGCTAGGCAAGCAGGCGCGGCTCATCCGTCGGTACACCGAAGAAGAGTGGGATATTTGGGCTGGCGAACTCTCCGGATCGAGAATCGTTCTTGGCATTACAAACTGGAAGAACGATTCTCAGACGGTAGAGTTCGACCTCTCGGTAGCGAACGTCTCGGAGGCCCACGCTCGCGATGCTTGGGCAGCGGAAGACATTAGTACGATCTCAGGAGTCCAAAAACTCGAGCTCGCGGCCCATGAAATGAGATTGCTGGTCCTGAGCGACATCGTGGCATCGACCTCGCGACCTACATCAAAAGGCTACTACTCGGTAGAAAATTCCACGCTCTCGGGTGGTGCGACGAAAGTTACGTGTGAGGCAACCGAATGCGCGCCTGCGGGTAACAAGATCAGCATTGCTGCCCAAGGAGCGAGCGCAACCTTTGACTCAGTAACTGTGGGCTCCGAGGGAAAGAAGCTAGTTGGCGTCGATTTTATTAACTACGAGCTCGCCCTAGACAGTGCCTGGGACTGGGGCTCCAATACCCGAAACATGACGATTGCGGTCAATGATGGGATGCCGAAGAGATGGGCGTTTCCTATATCAGGAGGAGACTGGCTTGAGTCTGATAGGTTGCTTATCGAGGTTGATGGATTCGTAGAGGGTGTGAACCAAGTAATCTTTGCTACGAGTGGAAACTCGCCAGCCCCGGATCTTATTGGGTTTGAAGTGTTTGAGTGAACGAGTTAAATACCTAATTAGTTGAATAATCTTACGGAATTGATTGGCACTCTTGCGTTATACGTAAAGTATGACTAGTAGTTGTCGGCATTTCAATGAAGTTATGAATTCTATTGGATCGTTTGCAATTGATGGATTTCATAGGTTGGAAGCTCAACACATTCAACTCCTTTTTCCTGTGGTGTCAATTTTCCAATAAAGAGGAGGACGTCAAACGTCTATAACATTGGGGTTAAAATAAATCCTGAACTATTGTATGTAGGTAGTATTGTATTAGAAAGGAAATATGAAACTCAGTGAAGATGTATTAACCTTATGTACGAAGTAAACACGGTTTGCAACTTGTAGCGCCACAATATAAGCTTCAAGTGCAGGCCACTGATTACCGATTAGCAACCCCTCATTGGCCACCGCCACATAACAGGTAGCTAAATTTATTTTTCCAGCTTTTGCCTCATGTACCTTACCTTAGCAGCATTTTCTTTAAATCCGAACTAGCGACCTGCGACCTTCTGTCGACTTCTACCTTTTTACCGTTTCGCCGATCCATCTAACAACTTTTTTTTCTGCATCGACGTTCTTTTCCACCTACACATAACATAAACATACACACACCCTCATTCGCGCGCTATCCATTTTTACTTCTCGACACATAAATCAAGATGCCTCGCAACCGTTCCGCCGCTCGTCCCGCCGCTCGTCCCGCTCCGGCTCGTCCCACGGTCCCCAGCAGAGCGCCTGCCCCCTCTTCTCAACAGACGCGGCCAGCAGCGACTTATGCCCCGGCGCAATCTGCGCACCCGCATCCCCCTGCGCAGGCCGCTCCCCAGGGCTCCCAGGGACCCGGTTTGTTCGGCCAGATGGCCAGTACTGCTGCGTACGTGCTATCCCAAGCCACTTCCTATAAAAAATATATATAAACTATAGCTAACATCAACATATACAGCGGTGTCGCAGTAGGTTCCTCCATCGGCCACGCGATCGGCGGGCTCTTCGGCGGCGGCGGCTCCGCACCCGCCGAGGCCTCTCCCCAAGCCGCCAGCGCAGAGCAGCAGCAGAGCCAGTGGGGCAACAACTGCCAGGGCGCCACGCAGTCCTTCACCAAGTGCATGGACGAACAGGGCGGAAACATGCAGATCTGCGGCTGGTATCTCGAGCAGCTAAAGGCCTGCCAGGCTGCTGCTAGCCAGTACTAAGATATCTATCTGTACTAAGATGGCGTAGGGTAGGAAGAGGAAAGGAAAGGAAAGTGGCAAGGGAAGGCAGTGAGGATGGCCGGGAAAAGGGGTAATGAGAACTCTCCCACCTCTGCGCTTTTGGGCCGAAGGAATCATGTCCACTGGCTATTCGTATCGTCTTTAGCCAACGTATAGTTATGTCTGCGGAGTGCAGTTGCGTTTGCTTGCGGAGTCCTCGAGCCAATGCTCCTGTATATACTGACGCAAGACGATTTATAAAGTAAAAAAACTTCACTCTACGTTCTTCGATATGTGCATTCCCTCTAGTATGTATAAGTTGAAAGATTTTGATGCATGATCTAACATAGCAAACTCATTTATTATACATGGTAGACTACAACAAATTACAACTAGATACTTTGTAATTAAACAAGTAGCCTGGAATTCTAGATATCTCTAACATAGAGGCGAGGCGTTATATTTAGATCAAAATCTAACATCTCTAATTCGTTATACAAGTGATTTGCGTAAGTGTACACTATATACAATACCAACACCAACTCAAACCCGTGTCTGTCTATCTATACTCGGGCCATACTGTGAGCTGCAGTTTTTAATAATCATCATATTCCGGTATAAGTTTGAACGGCACTTCGTGCATCTTACGTCTGCTTTCTACCCTCGCTTTAAGCATGGATATAGCTAGGCTGTTATTCCTATGGTCGACTCCGACCTCCTGGGCACGTCTCACAAAATAGCCGTTGACGAACTGGACGGGCGGTTCTTTTCCCATTCGGACGTCCGCTACCCACCGGCTATACTCGGCACCTTGCCTCTCTAGCCTGACTCTGAGCTTCGTCGCAAACTGCCTTTCGTGTAGGAATCTGAGCTTCTTGCGATGGCCTTCGAATTCGGGAAGAGACGAGATGATGTGTATCGTCTCCGCCAACATATTTTCCCATAGTCTCATCGCATTTTTATTGCACCTTATAAGGTTGAAGCTGCAATCTAAGATGGCCGAAAGCGTATCGGCTAGTGATTCAAAGATCATGTCGGGTAGCTTCTCTAGTAGTAATCGCCGCCAGGATATGCCGACTGCGTTAAGGTCACTAGCCGCTGAGAGGAGACCGATCATGTGCTTAGTATGTTGATTCCCAAGCAATTGAGACGTTACCCTGTCTATATCCTCATCTTCGTCATCCCTAGGAACCGCGTGCAGATATAACTTCCCAGGTATGTGTCGTATCGTATATTTATAGTACGAGTGTCTCGCAAGTTTATGACTGCTGTGACAGATCACGTAATTTGGCCGCAGAGCGGGAACATCAAACACCTCCTCGTTTAACATTTCCATCAGTCCAAGTCCTGGCTCGAGCAAGCAGACTGTTGTTCGACGGTCGATGCGTTTACGCAATGCATGCAAGGTAGGGAAGGCAGCCCTGGCGGCGGTGCTAAGAATAATATTGTCCAAGATAGGCTGGTACCCTAGCGACTTATACCGACGACTGACATAATCTGGGCAGAGTATTTCCCGGGAAGATATGGGATGGCCTTTGCTATCATGGATACTGACAGCTCTACCTTCCTGACCCCAAGCCTTCATCGATATCGGGTTGTGAGTGAGCATCTGAACCGGAGGTAGTTTAGGATCAGCGGCAAGAGCGTGGGCGACGAATCTTGCATGCGGATCGAAGCCGACAACGTGAATCTTATTCGAGAGCCTGATCGCAGGTACTGGTCTCGGGGAATTGGACTCGGTTTCCGTTTCGGCTCCTACCTGTGCTGCTACCGCCGCCGACGCTCTAGCGGAATCTGAATCCTCTTTAGTAGACGGGTGAGGAGGTGTAGCAATCTTGGAAATTGGTGGCGATGTATAGAAGGGATAGCTTGGAGAAACTCCCTCTCTCGACCCGCCGTTCTGGGGTGAAGTCGGGGGGTAGTATATAGGAGGATCGAGGCGGAAACCATCATTCCGGCGTTGTAGGTCCGGCATCGCGGCAGCAACAGCGGACAAGTACTTGGTGGCCCCCCGGCCCACATAGAGGTTATCGCGACTCCATGTCGTAGCTCTGCTAGGTATTCGCGCTGAAGCCCGCGAAAGCGGCTGGCGAAAAATATGAGAATACAGGGTGGGAGTTTATCGTGGGTTAACCGGCTGTTCTCATGTCGTTGGAATGGCCGAGGGCTGAATCGCGACTCTTTGCTAAGGCCAAACCCTGGTCATTGGGATAAAATTGAAGAAGATAGACAAGAAAGTAGAAGAAAGAAATACCGGTCGAAATAATAGATACAAATTCGACGCGGTGGTACCCAGCAGACTGCGTTTAGAGTGTAGGTTTATATTGACATGTGTATCGTCTCGCAACGGCTTTTCATGACGGTGATATTAATTTTTTTCTTGAACGGATCCGAGTCGGGCCCCACGATTGCGCTAAGCCGGTGCGAAATGAAATGGCTATCATTGGCGGAAGCAACTGAAAGCCCATATTTTATGATGTACTGGATGGAAGTAAGGTTAGGTAGGTTAGGTACGTACCTGAAAATGTACTTAGGTCCACTAGGTATTTCGTACTAACTACCTACCTACGTACAATCTTGAAAGTTCATAGTGTATTTTGCCTCTAATCACCGCCATAATTCTTCAATACAGTTGCATACAATTGCGACCTAGGCCAATGCGATAGTCAACCCTAGATAAATCAGCACTTTCCTCTAATCACGGTCGCGAGTATCTCATATCAGATTCTTGCATAATGGATCCGCCAAATATTTCACCCCAGTTGGATCGGCTCGACGATGAACTCGATAACCTCGAAGAAGCCCTACAGCCTATCCTTGGTAACATCTCGGATGTCGCTAACAAGCTGCCCCTGCTCGACAAGGCCAAGCTCTACGTGCTTGCGACCTATTCCATAGAATCGATGCTCTTTTGTAAGTACAAGCCCTTTAAATATTGAAAATTTTTATTGGTCTAACACAGCGACAAGCTTCCCTTCGACTTAATGGCGTCGAGGCAAAAGAACATCCCGTCTTCAAGGAACTCGCCCGCGTACGACAATACTTTGACAAGATCAAAAACATCGAGACTCCCCCGGAGAAGCCCGAGCAGACCCTAAACAAGGAAGCCGCCATTCGATTCATCAGAGCCGACTTGGCAGAGAACAATAACAAGGTTGTCAACACCAAGCTAAGCGAGATGATCGCGAAGGAACGCGCCAAAGCCGCCCTAAAGGCTGCCCAAGCAAGTAGCAAGCGAAAGGCCGAAATATCTATCCAACCAGTAGAGCCCAATACCGAATCCAATGCCGAGGAGGGCGACTCGGAAGCTTCGCGGAAGAAAAAGAAGAAAGATAAGAAGGAAGAAAAGAAGCATAAAGACAAGAAAAATAAGAAATCTCCCAAGTGAGGTATGGAATTCATGGGCGTCGCGATTAAAAACGAAACTTACAGCGCCATTATCCACCTCAGCTTCCGTTTCCTCTAATGGAAGTCAAGGGTGCGTATTAGGAGGGCCGAAGAATTCCTTTATAATCTCTAATGTGTTGTGCCGAGATATGCTAAGTTGGAGAACTAATTTAACGCCCCAGCAAGGCCAGTGAAGGAGAGTGAAGGAGAGCGAAGGGCCCTCGAACCAAGTGAGCTTAGCAGGTTAGCAGATTGCCGATACTCCTACAAACACCAGGCCATCAGGCTACGATACCAAAGGAAATCGAGCCGTTAATATAGATAGTTCATTATTTGGTGGCGCTAGACTCATCTGACCAGTTGATGGAGAGGTAAGTGATGCTATTGCTGCGCACTGCCTGTCTTAAACACTGCGCAAGGCTTGATACCGGCTTCGCTATCATTATAGTCATACATATACCAGCTTAATAAAAGGCGAAGAAACTTGATGCCCCTGTAGGAATCTGTATCGTAAACTTGTAACACTGGACATACTGCGCGAAATTGTCCTAACGCCGGCGGGGAGTCGGATCCGCCATACTAGTAAACCGGCCGTGAAAAGTATGGGGCACGATGACGGAGCCGATCTGGCGTACCGAACCACCACACTGGTTGGTCCTGCTACCATATGCACTCGATCAATATAGTAAGAGACGCGTTCGTACATAACATTCAAAGAGTCCTAGATATTTCCCTTTTCCGTTCGTCCGTTTAGATAAACTACCTCTGGTTAGAAACACGAAGCAGTAATCGGAATTTTCATATTGCTAGTTGTCGTACTCTAGAATTGCGGCGTTGGGAGGCAATTTGAGTCCCGCCCGTCAAACCCTTGACAAAACATCTCTAAGAACGTCTTGGCGGAATGAGATTTTTTGGCTTAGACAGACCCTTAGTCAGGACCGGGGTTCAATATAACATCCGGGCCGAATAAGATATATACGGATTTAAGAACAAAAAGTCCAGCATGCCGTAACTAATAATGATATGTTTCACGGTAGAGGATATATAAAAGTCGGTTAACGCGTAATATATGTAAGAGATGTCTAGACCAATACCGGTTGTAATAGCTGCGCTCTTCCTTTCCAGTAGCACAACTTACAAGAAAGCTCCTTTATCGATTTTCCATCAACCACCATAACTCGGCATAATTCGACAGTTTACATCATGAGTCCAGGAAAAGCAGCGCCCACTCGTGTCAACGGCCAGGTCGTAGGCCCTGTTGGATTCGGCATGTTGGGTAAGTAGCCTACTGTATAAGGCATATGCATTAACATAGGATAATACTAATTCGACACCATATACTAGGGTTAACGAAGCCGTGGGCCCCTGTCGAGTATCCCATTGCTGCGAAAGTCTTGAAGACGGCATTAGAGCAAGGTGCGAATCTTTGGAATGGTGTAAGTGAAATTCGCTTTACAAACCCCTAAGAGTAAGACTAATTCGAACGTAGGGCGTGCACTACGGAACTCCCGAAGCAAATTCTCTGCATCTAGTCAAGTACTACTTCGAACAGTATCCCGAAGATGCTAGCAAGGTCGTTCTCAGCATCAAAGGTGCATTTGGGATGAAGACCGGACCAGACGGTAGCCCGGAAGGTATCCGCGCTTCTGTCGAGGAGGCCCTCAAAGTGCTAGGTGGTACCAAAACCATTGACGTCTTTGAATGCGCGCGGGTTGACCCTAAGGTCCCCGTTGAGACCTCTATCAAAGCATTGGGCGAGCTCGTAAAGGAGGGTAAGATTGGCGGTATCGGCCTGAGCGAAGTTGGCGCAAACACAATCCGCAAAGCTCACGCGGTGCATCCTATCTCGGCCGCCGAGATCGAGTTTAGCTTATTCACGCCCGATCCCCTTCATAACGGTGTTGCGGATACTTGCCACGAACGTAGGTAATCTGGGAAACAGTACGAGGCTATAATACGTCTGCTAACGATGTTATCCATTAATAGTCGGCATCCCTATCGTAGCATACAGCCCCATCAGCCGCGGGTGGCTAAGCGGCGAGCTGCGTAGCTTAGACGACCTCCCGCAGAACGACTTCCGCCGCATGCTCCCACGCTTCCAGCCCGAGGTCTTCGATCAGAACTTCAAGCTCGTCGAGGCAGTGGAGCAGATCGCCAAGCGTAAGGGTGCTACGTATTAGGGTATAAGTAAAGTTAATATGAATTAGGTATAGATTTATATAGGATAAATATATAAGGAAGCGTTTTGCGCTTTTGTAAAAAGATAAAAAGTTAAGCGTTAATAAATTTTTATTATTATATAGCTATTATATAGTAGTTTTATTATTATTTTTAATATTTATTTTATATATAATATATATTAAAGGTTTTTTTTAATAATTTAACGTTTTTATTTATTAATATAAACCGTTTATTAAAAGTAAAATTGTTATTAAATTATTATAATAGTTTTTATTAAAAAATAAAACGTTATGTTTTTTAAGTAAAAAATAATTAATAATAATTTAAATTATATATTATAAAATTAATTAAAAAATAATAATAATATATTTATAAAAAATATAAATTTTATTTTAATAATAATTAACGTAATAATATTATTAAATATTATTAATTTAAAGGTTATAATAAAAAAAAAATTAAATAAATATATTAAATAATTAAAAAAATAAAATTAAAAAAAATGTAAAATTAAGTATTTTATAGCTTTAAAAAAAAGGTAATTTATTTTTTATATTATAAAAATTTTTTATTATAAAAAAAAACAGCAAAAAAGTAATTATAATAAAAGTTTAACTTTTAATAAATTATTATTATTTAATATTATTTATAAAAAAAATAAAAATAATAACGGCGTAAAATTAATAATTTTTTTAAAAGGTTTTAAAGCTAGGTTTTTTTTATAATATTATTATATAAATAAAAATAAAATTTTATATGTAATATTTTATTTAAAAAATAAAATGGTTAAATAATGGTTTTAATATATTATTAATAATAATAAAAATTTTAAAAAAATTTTATAATTAAAAATAAAAAAATGGTTATATAATATAATTAAAAATAAAAATTTAAAAGCATTTAACTTTTTTATAATAATATAAAAATTATGTTAAAAATTAATAAATTATTTTTGGCTTTTTTTAAAAAATATAAAATAATTAAAATAAAAGATTTAAAATAATATTTAAAAAAAACGAAAATTTTTAACTTATTAATTAAATTAATTTTTAAGTTAAAAATTAAATATATTAAAAGATTTATACCGGTAATATATAATAAATTAAAAAATAAAACGAAATTATTTAAATTTATTTATAAAAATTAATAAAAAAATATAAAAAATATTAAGGAAAAAATTAAAAAGTTTAATATTAAAATAATATAATAAAAAAATAATAATTATAATATTATTAAAAATAAATAAAACGTTATTAATTAAGGTAAAAAATTTATTTTTATTTTTATTTTAAACATTAAAGATTTAAAGTATTTGGTAAATTATTTTAATTATAAAAAAAAAGATTATATTAAATTTTATTATTTAAAAATTATTTATTATAAATATTAAAAATATAAATATTTTATTTATAAATATTTATAATTAAGTAATAATATATTGGTAATTAATTTAAATAATATTTTAATATAAATAAAAAATGTTTAAAACTTTTAATAAAATTTAATTTTTTTTTAAGTTTATTTTAAAATAGTAATAAAGTTATAAATAAAAAATAAATAAATTTTTTTTAAAATCTTTATAAATATAAAGTTTAATTATAATTTAATTAAAGTTAATTATATTTTATTAAAGATATAAAAAGATTTTATTTTAAAAAAGAAAATAAAAAATTTTTTTAAAAAAAAAAAAATATTAATATAATTTTATATTATTATAAAAGTTAAAAATAATTAAAAAGTTATATAAAAGGTTATTAATTTTATTAATATAATAAAATAAAATTTTAATTATAAAATTATATTAAAAATGTTATAAATTATAAAAATTAATATTATTTTAAAAAGATTTAATAAAATATAATATTATTTTATTAAATTTAAAAATATAAGTTTAATATAAAAAAAAAAAGAAATATATAAAATTATATAAGAAATAAAAAAAGTAATGATATTTATAATGATAGTAATAAAAAATAATAATAATATTATAATTTTATAATATTTTAATTTATAAAAAATGTTTAATAAAATAATAATATTTTTTATTTTTAAAAAATATAAAAAATTTATAAACGTTTTTAATATAAAAAAAATATTTATTTTTTTAAAATATTAAAATTAAGATTATTTTATTAATTTTAAAAAAAGTAAAAAACCTTTATTTAATTTAATTTATTTTTTAATAAAAATAAAATTAAAAATTTTTAAAAAATATATTAATAATATTTTGTAAAAAAGGTAAATTTAATTTTTTAAAAATTTAATAAAAACTTTAATATTATTTATTTTAAAATTAAAAAAAAAACTACAATTATATATTAATTATTATAATTTAAATAAAATTATAAAAAAAGATTACATTATTTTTTTATTAATTAATAAAATTTTAAATAAGTTTTTAAAAGTAAAATATTTTATAAAATTAAATTTAAAAAATATATATTATTAATTACGTATTAAAGTAAAAAATAAATAAAAAATAACGTTTTATATTAAATATAAATATTTTAAATATTTAATAATATTTTTTAAATTATTAAATATTTTAATTTTGTTTTAAAATTATATTAATAAAACTTTTATAAGTTTAATTAATATGTTATATATTATATATTTAAATAATATTTTAATTTATTTAAAAAATAAAAAATAATATATTTAAAACGTTTATAATATTTTTAAAAAGTTATATAAGTAAAAATTTTATATAAATTTAAAAAAATGTAAATTTTATATTAATAAAATAATATTTTTAAGTTTTATAATAATTATAAACGGAATAAAAATAAATAAAAATAAAATTTCGGTAATTTTAAAATAATTAATATTTTATAATATTTATAATATATAAATATTTTTAAATTTTATAAAATTTTATAAATAATTTATTGGGTTAGGGTTAGGGTTAAAGGGTTAGGGTTAGGGTTAGGGTTAAGGGTTAGGGTTAGGGTTAAGGGTTAGGGTTAAGGGTTAGGGTTAGGGTTAAGGGTTAGGGTTAGGGTTAAGGGTTAGGGTTAAGGGTTAGGGTTAGGGTTAGGGTTAGGGTTA